TTAAAGCTGTGGTGTCTGATTAAAGTGTCTCTCAGTGCTGCAGTGAGCAGAAGAAGGGGCTACTGTCAAATAAAGCTTGTTAATGTAAGCGAAAGCTCCGCCTCCGGGCTGCTCTGATTGGTCCAGTGTTTCAGAGCCACGCCTCCGGGCTGCTCTGATTGGTCCAGTGTTTCAGAACTGATTCGTTCTGAGTGTTTGATCGTTGTTCTCGTGTCTCGTATCTTTCGCAGAATCTCACGCATTAAATGTTTTCTAAAAATGCGGCGTTCAAGTTAAAATATGTTTCACTTTTAAAAATAAGCTGCGTGTTTTTTCTCAATTCCACTGCCAACGTTTTGCGTTGTTTTGTTTTTTTTAAAGAAAAAACACATTTTGTATGAACGACCCTTTAGATTCCATACGGCAAAAACATACATATTTTCTGAGGCCAAAATATACTTTACACACATGCTAAATATATGTTGTTAACAGTGAAGCTCAATGAAAAATATTGTCGAAATATAAAATATATATTTCTTGGTGATTTTTATTCAAATGTGTTAAATATTTACACGTTATAGACAACAAGTAAGTTTTTCTTCAAATGTGACATTTTTGAATTTATTTATGTATGTAATGTATTTAAATATTTTTTGTATATTTTGAAAATATATTTTAAAAACATAAATATTAAAAAATATTTTTCAAAAGTAAAGCAAAAAAGCTCAAATTTATTTATATAAACAGATTTTGAATAATATTTTAGCAAATATATATATATATTAGCCATTATTTATATATATTGTTGAAAATATAAAAAAAACATATTTAAAAATATTTTTCAAAAATAATTTATTTACATAATAAAATAATATATTTACATAAATAGATTTGAAAATAGTTAAAAAAACATAAATATTTAAAAATATTTTTCAAAAGTAAAGCAAAAAAGCTCAAATATATATTTATATAAATAGATTTATGAATCATATTTCAGCAAATATATATATATATATATTTTAGCCATTATTTATATATTTTGAAACATATTAAAAAAACAAAATATATATATATAGAGGCAATTTTTTTTATATTTTTTAAAATATAAAAAAAAAACTTAAATATTTAAAAATATTTTCCAAAAATAATATATTTACATAATAAAATAATATTGATTTTGAATCATATTTTAGCAAATATATATTTTTTAGCCATTATTTATATATTTTTGAAACATTTAAAACAACAACAACAAAAATAAAATAAAAAATTTTAAAAACATAAATATTTAAAAATATTTAATATTTAATAAATAGTATAAAATAAGTAAAAATAATATATGTACATAATAAAATAGTATATTTACATAAATAGATTTTGAATAATATTTGAGCAAATATATATTTATTTGTAGCCATTATTTGTATATTTTTGAAAATATATTTTTTAAAAACATAAATATTTACAAACATTTTTCAAAAATAATATATTTACATAATAATATATATATATGGTGTATGGTGAAGGTCTGTTCAGCTGGTTTAATCAGTCTCAGTCAGTCATTATCAGGGCAGATCCCGACACGCTTGCTCTGAATCTCACGGTCCTCCTCTCCTCCGAGAGCTGATGCAAACACACGCGCTCGCTCTGATGAAGGAGGAGAGAGTTTATCAGACAGAACCTGAAGGACTCGAGCAGCCGGCGGTTCCTGTGCCTGTCTCTTATTCACGGCTCTCAGTCTCTGGGCTTCTGACCGTGTTGCACAAGCGCTCGCACGGAACAGACACAGATATAAGCAGTCAGGCTGGAATCGGCTGATTACATGTGATTAGAGGAGGACACGTGCTGCTATTCCAGTCTGTGGAAGAGCTCAGAGCCTCAGGTGTTTAGAAAGACGAGCAGACGAACACGCTCCAACCAGTGTTACTTAGTATCACTCATACACTCTTACAGTTCTTGATCATATTTCCAATTACATTTGTATTATTATTTTATTAAGTTTAGTACATTTTTAGTACATCAAGTTAAACTAAATTATTATTATTATTATTTTATTTTAGTATTATTAATATACTTTTATAGGTTTAGCTAGTATATTAATTTTAGTAATTGTTTTATTATTTTTGTAATTTTAAATATATGTCTTTACAGGTTTAATTCATTTTTTATGTCAGTTTTAGTTTTAGTTATTTTAGTGCATCAAGTTAAACTACACTAAACTGAGAAATGTTGCCTTGGAAACTAGTTCAAATACGTTTTTAGATAAGTTTAAGGTTTTATATTTTATTTTATTTCAGTTGACATTTATTTTTATTATTTATTATAATTTTTTTAATCATTTATTTTTTTGTCATTCTCACATTTTATGTTCCACTTCGACTTTCATTGACGTATAATTTGTTAAAATGTGTATTAAATTGGAAAAAGGCTAATTATATGCATTTTCTCTAGTGGTCTGAGACTACTTCTTAACATCTGAATTTATGCACTAACAGATGCTAAGTTTCAGTTTTAGTGAACTATAATAGCTCTAGTTAGTACACCACGGAGCTGGTTTATTGTTGGTCTATCAGTTTGCATCAGTTGGGTAACCACTTAAACCAACTAATGACCAAGCTGGATCTTTTATGTTCCACTTCAACCTTCATTGACGTATAATTAGTTAAAATGTGTATTAAATTGGAAATTATACGCATTTTCTCTAGTGGTCTGAGACTACTTCTTAACATCTGAATTTATGCACTAACAGATGCTAAGTTTCAGTTTTAGTGAACTATAATAGCTCTAGTTAGTACACCACGGAGCTGGTTTATTGTTGGTCTATCAGTTTGCATCAGTTGGGTAACCACTTAAACCAACTAATGACCAAGCTGGATCTGGATCATCTAGAAACCATGTGAAACTTGAAATATTCACACAAATAAGCAGAATATTGGTTGCATTAACTAGTCTTACAGGTTAGTCATGACTTGCGCTCAGTATGTTGATGAGGAACCGCACATACTCACCGGTACACGCGTGTGTCGAGCTGCTCCGCTGACGGGAATCCCAGCATGCCACACACCACACGACTGCTGCCGAGATCCCAGCCCACACTACACACCTGCCTCCATTTCCCAGCATGCCTCACCTCCAGCACACCCTCCGTCACCATGGCAGCGCTCCGAGCGGCGCTCAGAACGGCTCGGAGACGCACCTCGTCCAGCCGGAGCGACCCAGACGACTGAGAGAGACACGGACAAACATTAACCCTGCGAAGCCTGACAGATGAAACTAGATTCAAAAGTGTGTCAAGACAAACTTTAGGTTGGCTTGAGAAAGCCTAGCCTGAAAGTTTAAAGCAGTTGTAAAACCTGAAGTTTGAAAATTTAGATTAGATAGATGTTGATAACATGCTTCTAGCATTATTAGCATGTTTTTAGCATGATTTGCCTGTCACTAGCATATTGCTGGCATGATCAGCAAGTTACTAGCATGTTGTTTGCATGAATAACAAGTTACTAGCATGTTCCTAGCATTATCAGCAAGTTACTAACTTGTCGCTAGTATGTTTCTAGCATGATTAGCATGTTACTAGCATGTTGCTAGCATGATTAGCATGTTAGTAGTATGTCGCTAGCATGCTACTAGCATGTTGTTGGTATGTTTCTAGCATGATTAGCATGTTACTAGCATGTTGCTAGCATGATTAGCATGTTAGTAGTATGTCGCTAGCATGCTACTAGCATGTTGTTGGTATGTTTCTAGCATGATTAGCATGTCGCTAGGATAGATAGATAGATTAGAAATATTAGATAAGTTTGAATGGGTTAGAAATAGTACACAGAAGGGAAGCTGGATTGAGTCTAATGGGCTTCTGTGTGTTTAGATGTGTTTAAATTCATAGTTTTGAAGAGTCTTGGCTCATTTGAACATTCCGTCAATGCAAGTCTATGGGATTTTTATGATTTTTAATCTTCAGTTTGATGAAAACCATAAGTCGGATCAGTCTGAAAAGATAAAGCAACCCGAGTCAGATCAGTCTGAAGAGCTGGGCTGAGTTTGGTGGTTCTAGCTTGAAATCTCCAGGAGGAGTAGCGTTCAGAAATGTAGTCTCAGAAGAAGAATAATAAAAAGCTTAAGTAGCAGATCAGTAGGCTGGCTTTCTCCAGCTAACCTAATAACAGAAAATATATTGTTTGATAGAGTCGCTCTATATCTCCAGTAACATGTCTCAGTGAGATGAGATTGAAATGCTCCAAACATATAATGCAGTGATTGAGAGCTGAAGAAATAAAGGCTCCTCAGAAGATGTGAGATGTTCTGGAGGCTTGTGAAGATCATTCCTCCGCTGAGGAACAGTGAAAGTAAAGCTTCTGGAAACAAACGCTCCTCAAAAGATCCTGAGGATCAGATTTGAGACTCTAAAACATGATTGATGGAGAATCAAGTAAAGCTGAGCTGCTTCAGTGCAGTAAGTGTTCATCTGGAGATATTGCTGCAGTTATTCTGACGCTTACTTGATCAAAACCAGTCAAGATCTGACACGAGAAGCAGCAGCTGAAGCTGGACATTTGTATAATTACACTAAAAGAGCTTAAACTGGAAAAAACACTCTAAACTATCATCACAGACAGGAAGTGCTGAAACAGCCAATCAGAATCCTCCAGAGAGCTGTCAATCATCAGATGACCCGGCTCCAAGCGACTGCGGTTTACAGCATACACACACTGCTAGTCTTCAATTACATGACACTGTAAACCGCTGGAAAAACTGAGCAGATTAACCCGGTCAGACTAGAGCTGCTGTGATGCTGGTTCAAGAAGGACTACCAGTTTTAGTAGGTCAACCAACTAAACCAGCTAATGACCAAGTTGGATCATCTAGAAACTATCTAAAACCTGGAATATTTCATTGAAAACGGTTATATTTTTGTGGAAACTGTGATACATGTTATTTTTCAGGATTCACAGATGAATAGAAAGTTCAGAAGAACAGCGTTTATTTGAGATAGAAATCTTCTGTAATGATGTAAATGTCTTTACTGTCACTTTCCATCAATTTAATGCATCCTTGATGAATAAAAGTATATATTTCTTTTTAAATCATACATTACCCCAAACTTCTGAATGGAAAAATATTGTGCAGCACGACTGTTTTCAACACTGATAATAATCAGAAATGTTTCTAATAATCAGCATATTATACTGATTTCTGAAGATCATGTGACACTGAAGACTGGAGGAATGATGCTGAAAATACAGCTGCGCATCACAGAAATACATTACAGTTTAACAGAGATTCACACAGAAAACAGCTGTTTTACATTATAATAATATTTCACAATTTTACTCTATTTTTGATCAAATAAATGCAGCCGTGCTGAGCAGAAGAGACTCTGACCTGCTCATCCATGTCGGTGAAGTCCAGATCCATCCTGTTACTGTGCTCCACCGGCTCGGGACTGTAGACCGGCTCCGGCGCTGGCGCTGGTCTCTCAGGGTTTCGTGCGGTCTGAGCGGGCGTCACGTCCTGCGCTCGTCTGTAGGAGGCTCTGCTGCGCAGGAAGTCCGGGATCTGGTGTCCCCGCGGGGTGACGGCGCTCTCGAACCCGTTCCTGCGCAGCTGGATGCGATGGCCGGTGAGCTGCGGTGAGGACGGGCCGCGGCCGCCGCGGTGGAGGCCGATCTCGTGCCCGCGTTGAGGAGCGTTCGAGACCAGGTTAGAGATCTGAGGTGAAGGAGGCTCTTGGTACCGGGGGACGTGACCCTGGTTGGGTGGATCCGGATTGCAGATGACTCCCAGGTCTTCAGCGTGAGTGCAGTCGCTCACACCCCAGCCGTTCGACCGGCACTCCGACAGAGAGCTCTCGCTGCCCGAACACCAGACGTTATCCAGCCAGATCGGACCTGAACACACCAGAACCAGTCATTTCTACTCGAGCACTGAGAGAAGAGTGTGCTGGAACAACATGAGCAGACTGTGAACATATTAAAGTCAACATGAGACAGTCACAACCTGTGAAAAACACTGACATGATGAACTGATGGGACGGTGACAGTGTGTCTGTATGAAGGCGGTTGATCAATAAGAGCGACTGATGACGTCAGATGAAGAGGAAAGCCATATTATTAAGTGCTTTATAAAATACGGATTTCTGCCATGGAATAAATAGGCCTATATAAAAAGGGTACTTGCGACTTTTTCTTTTAATTAGAATTTTTTTCTCCGAATTGTGAGTTGTAAGATGTAAATTTAGAGTTTTTACTTTATTTTCGCAATTCTTACCGTTTCCCTCAGAATTCTGATTTACATTTCGCAAATAACTCACAATTGTTAGATATAAACTCAAAATTCTGAGAAAAACGCTCGAAGTCTGCGTTTACATCTTGCAATTAATATTTTGCAATTAATAACTCGCAATTGTTAGATATAAACTTGAAATTCTGAGAAATAGTCGGAATTCTGCGTCTACATTTCAGAATTAATAACTCAGAATTAATAACTCGCTATTGTTAGATATAAACTTGAAATTCTGAGAAATAGTCGGAATTCTGCGTCTACATTTCAGAATTAATAACTCAGAATTAATAACTCGCTATTGTTAGATATAAACTTGAAATTCTGAGAAATAGTCGGAATTCTGCGTCTACATTTCAGAATTAATAACTCAGAATTAATAACTCGCTATTGTTAGATATAAACTTGAAATTCTGAGAAATAGTCGGAATTCTGCGTCTACATTTCAGAATTAATAACTCAGAATTAATAACTCGCTATTGTTAGATATAAACTTGAAATTCTGAGAAATAGTCGGAATTCTGCGTCTACATTTCAGAATTAATAACTCAGAATTAATAACTCGCTATTGTTAGATATAAACTTGAAATTCTGAGAAATAGTCGGAATTCTGCGTCTACATTTCAGAATTAATAACTCAGAATTAATAACTCGCTATTGTTAGATATAAACTTGAAATTCTGAGAAATAGTCGGAATTCTGCGTCTACATTTCAGAATTAATAACTCAGAATTAATAACTCGCTATTGTTAGATATAAACTTGAAATTCTGAGAAATAGTCGGAATTCTGCGTCTACATTTCAGAATTAATAACTCAGAATTAATAACTCGCTATTGTTAGATATAAACTTGAAATTCTGAGAAATAGTCGGAATTCTGCGTCTACATTTCAGAATTAATAACTCAGAATTAATAACTCGCTATTGTTAGATATAAACTTGAAATTCTGAGAAATAGTCGGAATTCTGCGTCTACATTTCAGAATTAATAACTCAGAATTAATAACTCGCTATTGTTAGATATAAACTTGAAATTCTGAGAAATAGTCGGAATTCTGCGTCTACATTTCAGAATTAATAACTCAGAATTAATAACTCGCTATTGTTAGATATAAACTTGAAATTCTGAGAAATAGTCGGAATTCTGCGTCTACATTTCAGAATTAATAACTCAGAATTAATAACTCGCTATTGTTAGATATAAACTTGAAATTCTGAGAAATAGTCGGAATTCTGCGTCTACATTTCAGAATTAATAACTCAGAATTAATAACTCGCTATTGTTAGATATAAACTTGAAATTCTGAGAAATAGTCGGAATTCTGCGTCTACATTTCAGAATTAATAACTCAGAATTAATAACTCGCTATTGTTAGATATAAACTTGAAATTCTGAGAAATAGTCGGAATTCTGCGTCTACATTTCAGAATTAATAACTCAGAATTAATAACTCGCTATTGTTAGATATAAACTTGAAATTCTGAGAAATAGTCGGAATTCTGCGTCTACATTTCAGAATTAATAACTCAGAATTAATAACTCGCTATTGTTAGATATAAACTTGAAATTCTGAGAAATAGTCGGAATTCTGCGTCTACATTTCAGAATTAATAACTCGGAATTAATAACTCACAATTGTTAGATATAAACTCGAAATTTGGAGAAAATAGTCGGAATTCTGCGTCTACATTTCAGAATTAATAACTCAGAATTAATAACTCGCTATTGTTAGATATAAACTCGAAATTCTGAGAAAATAGTCGGAATTCTGCGTCTACATTTCAGAATTAATAAATCGGAATTAATAACTCGAAATTCTGAGAAATAGTCAGAATTCTAAGTTTACATCTTGCCAATTAACTTTTAACAATTAATAACTCATGAATTGTGATATATACATTCGCAATTGTGAGTAAAAGAGTGAACTGTGCTAAACTGTGATAAAAAGTGGCAACTAACATTTTAAGGCCGGGAACTTGTCATAGTAAGTGAATTTATGTTTCTCTGTTTTTTGTTAGATATAAACTCGAAATTCTGAGAAAAAAGTCGGAATTCTGCGTCAACATTTCAGAATTAATAACTCGGAATTAATAACTCGCAATTGTTAGATATAAACTCGAAATTCTGAGAAAATAGTCGGAATTCTGCGTCTACATTTCAGAATTAATAACTCGGAATTAATAACTCGCTATTGTTAGATATAAACTCGAAATTCTGAGAAATAGTCGGAATTCTAAGTTTACATTTCAGAATTAATAACTCGGAATTAATAACTCGCAATTGTTAGATATAAACTCGAAATTCGGAGAAAATAGTCGGAATTCTGCGTCAACATTTCAGAATTAATAACTCGGAATTAATAACTCGCAATTGTTAGATATAAACTTGAAATTCTGAGAAATAGTCGGAATTCTATGTGTGCGTGTGTCTGTGAGTGTGTATATCTGCGAGTGTGTGTGTGCATGTCTGTGTGTGTGAGTGTGTATATCTGTGAGTGTGTGTGTGTGTCTGTGTGTGCATGTGTGTGTGTATGTCTGTGTGCATGTGTCTGTGAGTGTGTGTGTGTATATCTGTGAGTGTGAGTGTCTGTGTGTGCATGTGTGTGTGTGTCTGTGAGTGTGTATGTCTGTGTGTGCGTGTGTGTGAAAGAGAGAAATAAACTCTCTCTCTCTCTCCAGCAGATCCTCGCCATCATCACGTCCTTCTCTGAGAGGAGTGTGTATATGTGAGAGTGTGTGTGTGTGTGTGAAAGTGAGTGTCTATAAGTCTCTGCGTGTGTGTCTGTGAGTGTATATAAGTCTGTGTGTGTGTGTGAGAGTGAGTGTAATGTGGATTCTGCAGTGTAAACGAGGCTCTTTGAAGCTGATTTAACTAATAAACGAGCGTGAAGACATGAGCAGAACCGATTGAAGGAGGGCCATTCCTGCAAAATCTCATAATATCTTTACACTGTTGCTAAGACGAGACGAGTTTAGTGCAAATAAACCAGTTACATTCAGTGAGCAGCATAATGAAATAAATACAAATAAAAACTACGCCATACTGTAATCACACTCCCATATGATCATCCAAACCGCTGTGAAGTGAAAAGGCAAAATGTGTCTCTGATATAGACTTTTTGAATTTGATTACATTTTTATATTTTCTTTCAGTTAATATTTCGAGCTTGTAACTGTTAGGGGTGTAACGATATGCTCAGGTCACGATAAGGTACGTATCTCGATACTGGGTTCACGATACGATACATATCACGATATTTTGAACAAAATTTTAAAAAATGAAACTGAAATTCAAATAATTTGTTGTACATACAAAATCACATTTCAAGGTTTAATAAACACCTTCTGTATTCAAATTAACAACTGAATAGGTCTGTCACTGAAAAAAATTGTTACATTTAACATGAACTTAGAATTAAGAAGCCTAAGACAGAACTTCTTAAAGCAGTAAAAAAAAAAAAATTATAATAATAATTATATGGTGTTCTGTTCAAGGAAGTTCAACATAAACACTAGGGTTTGTTTAGGTTACCTACAGGTTTTTTTTTGCAAAAAACCCCAGCATATCTACATTTTCAGGCAGAAGCTGGGATCTTTGAGCATTCACAATATCCCCTGCCGTAGAAAAAACATGTTCACTGGTAACATAAGCTGCTGGAACTGTTAGGTAAGCCTTGGAAAGAGAGGAAAGAAGTGGGTACGTTTGAGCGTGTTCTTTCCACCATTTCAGTGGACAGCTAGTGAGGGGCATAGAAGTGTCCTTTTTGTACATGTCAATCTCTACTGCTATCCTACATTTGGACTGAGTGACTGTTGGTTTAGAAAAAGTTGCACCAAGATCTTCCATCTTCGGTGGTGGCGGTTCTTGCTCGACTCTCTGTGTTGTCTCTCTCTTCTCTGCTGCATCAGTGGGATCTCCATCACTGGCACCGCCCTCCCTGTTTTCTGATTGCTCCACAGCCTTAAAAAATATTAAAACAAACGGACTGGGGAGGTATAGTATAGTTGCAGTTACCCACACACACATCACAAAGTACACAAACATGCAAATGCATACACATTCTCAAATAATTAGTAATGCAGACACATACCTG